TGATGGGAAAGCCAGAAACATTCGATCCATACTACGGTAAGTTTGTTATCTAGTGTTTTCACAAGTGTTGATCTACTCATGCGCAAACTGTTAATAATTTTTAAGGTGTCAAAGATATAAGTGACGATGGTGATATTACAAAGCCAGAAAATATTGATGCATTGCAAGCATATGTATTGAAATGTACAATGAAACTCGGTGTGCATGTTGCAACAGCTGATGGGGTAATAAGTGATTATGTTCACAGACTTTTCTTATGTGATCAAAGCCCTATTATTAGCGGCGGAACCAGGATTTCGTGTTAGGCAGGGCTCAGCCCATCACTTTTCTGGAGTTCGGTCTGAAGTAGTGCTAATAATTAAAACTGAATTCCAGAAAAAGTTTTAAAAAACTATCTGGGCGGGACTAAGAGCTTTCTAGGCAGGGCTCAGCCCAGTCTAGCCCTGTTGGTGGCTCCGCCACTACCCATTATATGCCGACATTTAGAGACTTACCATCGAACGTCTTCGAAGCATTCTGATACCTGATGTCATGATATATAATCTGAATCGAACTCTATCTCTAACAGTTTTAATATGTTATTTTTTAGGGCTTTTCGGTCGAAGGACAGGAGAATATTCAAGAAATTCTTAGTAAACAATTGTATTTATGTCAATTTTTGGGTGCTCTATCAGTTCTTCGTCCAGGTATTACAATACTTTAGAAGGTTACTGGAACTCAAACGTACAATTTCGTTTTTTGTTGCCATTTAGGAGGAAATTTTGTTTGTAAATTATTTGATTTATTCACACCATTCAGTGTTGGTCTTGTCTATTTGATGTATCGCACATTCAACCAAATATCTATACATAAACCAGTATCAAGTCGACCAGCTAATTCCGAGCGGTGATAAAGAAGAACAGGTCTGATGAGGAGGTAAAATAGCTAACATTCTTTCTCCTTTTAAGGTATATTATATGCAAAGGTTTACGCGAAAGTGTACGTGATATTGTTCGAGTGTATATGTATGAAATTAATTCAAAACAGTGTAAACACCGAAATGATACAGAACCAAACGATATACAATCAATTGTACCTTTAGATATTATTAAGTCTAATCATGAGTTCTGTAATTATATAATTGCATCAAATAATACGTAAGTTAACGTTTATTTTTACAGGCTGCCAATGGAAATAGTACTTTTATCAGTCGGAAAACGCTTTGCAATTAATGTCACTTTATCTATTTTATTTTCTTTCTTATCGGCTTTTAACTTGCACCTGTGCATACTATGTGAGCTATATAGAAGAAAGTTATGTTCTTTTTGTTACATTTATCTGTAGACTCGGAGAAAATCAAATCAGAAATCTGAGGAAAATTCGTGCATTTGTTAGCAATCCGTAAGTATTCGTTTTTTCTTAGTCGTTCACACAGACTAGAAAAAAGTTTTTTTTTATAGGAAACTAATTGATACTCGTCAGTCAAATATTCGACAACAGTGTCTCACATTATGGAATGTAAGTATCGTATAAACTGTTTCTTATGACATGAAATGTAATATATGCTCTATCTTTAGATTCCAGATGAACAGAGACCAAAACGGCGACGATTACTTTATAATGATATATACAACGAGTTATTTGGTCGAGTAAGTGATTAACCGAGCACAAATAGACGATATTAATGGTCTTGCTTTCTAGCTGGATCAAGGTATTGAGAATTACATTCTCAATACACCTAATTTATTAAAAAAATGTGTTTTAAATCAAAATCAAATGGCCTCATTGTTCGATTATCGATGCGTATTATCACTAGGTGATCCTGTTCTATTATTGAGTTGTGGAGTAAGTTTCAAAGTTGAATTAAATGAAATAATTTTATTTAATTATTATTTACTTTTACTTTTCCAGCGTAGTCAAGTGTATTCAATCGATCTACGACATAAGAATAAATGCTGGACATTATTAGAAAAAACACCATTCAAAATTGAATTACCACCCTATACATTATTATTAGGAGAAAAAGTTCTCGAAGATTTTCGAGAAGTAAGAATAAGCAAAATGTAAAAACTACACAAATTTGAACTAATGTAATTTTAATTTGTTTAATTAGGGTCGTACACTTCGTCAAAAACCAGCTATTTACATAATAGATGCTTATTTCATCGGCAATGAAAATATCCTGATGAATAATAAAGGTCCAGTCGTGTTTATCGATCGGTATGTGTTCTTAGTAACTCTGTTTTTTGTATATTATCTTCATTTTTACTCTGTTAGATTTCGTTCTATGAAATTATTTGAAAAAACCATAAATAAACCGTCTCGTTATGATCTCGCACCCATACGTGTTAGTGAACAGTTAAGATGTGAACATTTAGACGCAAATATCACAAAGTAGACGAATAAATTATAGAATCAAAAGTAATTGTAATATATGTTTTTCATGTAATGTAGGTTGTGTGAATCAGGTCATTATGATCAAATTGATAGTGAAAAGCTTTGGTATGTTAACGAATCTGTTGTTGAAAATAAACCACGAGTACAAGTTCATGGAATATGGTTTTTCAAGTTTGTTCAGTGTAAGTGGATAATATTTACTGCAGAAAGACATACTTAGCTTAATCCTTGTTTATTTTCATACAGGTCCATGGACGATCTTATGGGGTCGTTCAAAACAGCAGAAATATTTTCATAATCAAAACACGCGTGTATCAGAAAGTGTCGCACCGTCGGATTATTCGCATGTAGCTTCTTTACGGTAAGCACGTCAATCGAATATTCTATTGTCATAGACAGTATATTTTCTTCGTTTAGATCTATGCTTGAAAATAGCTTTTATTGGGATTTTAATACTAATTTTCGAGATGATACTGTGTCAAAATCAAACATGATCTCATTTATTCGAGGAAAAACTGATCAACAACAACGTCCATCACAACAGCAGCAACATAATCATACTTAACTATAATTTGTTTTTATCGTTTCTGCGTTGTTTAAAAGTTAAAAAATGGGGAGCGTTTTAGCTCCACCTTTATTTCATCTGTCAAATACATTATTTTATTTTTTGCCGTTTTTTTTTGTTTTGTTTTATGTTTTGTTCGATAGTTGAGAATGTGCGGTGACAGCAAAACTTTAAAAAACAATTATTTCTTTTTGATCGGTTTCTTTTCTTCTTTATTTACAATGACTACTGTATGTGCGTATTTGTATAAAGAGAACATCATGAACACGTTTTTTTTATTTTTAGGAAAATCTTTCTTTTCCTTGCTTGTTTTTATTTCTGAAAACGACGAATGTTTATGCTTTCTGTCTAGTATCGAAAATGATGTATCAGTTCGATGAAACATATTTGCTATTTTTTTGTTTTTGTGTTTCGGTTTCTTATATGTTCCTAAGAGAGAGAGAGAGAAAGTGAGAAATGGTTTGTTTTGCGACTTCTTGAATTTCAAATAAAAATGGAAAAAAATAAAATTTGGTAACAACTCGTAAATTTCGATTGCTTGAAAAAGAACAGGAGACTTGTATTATAAGACAATGATTAAAATATCGTTAAATCGAGATTAGCTGAAAAATTTTAGAAATGTATAGGTTTTTTTGTTCAATCAATTATGCTCAAATAATCTTGTCTATCTAATTTGGCTGCTCACTTTAATCAAATTGTAAATTGATGAATTAATTGAAACACATATATTTATTGTACACAAGAAAACAAATTTATTTACAATATCGATCTGATTTCATTTCTTCTCGTCTGTCAAGTAGTACTTCATGTAATGTTCCGTCTCCTCTTGCTTTGACTAAATTTTTCGTGTCGCCTTGATTGACGCGCATTCTTTTGTCTTGAAATTTTTGAAATTTTTTCACATAATTTACTTCAACATCTTTCACATTCGTTGGTTGTTCTTCTTCTGGTAATAATTTTCGACGTTTTTCATTAATATGTTCACGTTTGGCACATGAACGAATATTAATAAAATTTTCATCCGCTGCTTTTTCATCTGTCGCTATTAAATCACCTTCATCATTAACACGTATAAATTTATTATTACTAGCTGACAGTGCTAATTGGCCATTTTCAAAGACGGGTTCAAAATATTCAGCCGGTCCTAGAAAACAAAAAAAAAATAATAAAATAAAATGTAACAAAAAACTTAAATGACAAAAATTGCTAGATACATACCAATTGCATCACTACGTCCCACCAGTAAACCATTTTTATTTACTGCAACATATTTTCCAAAACCAGATTTTAATGCAATTTTATTTTCTGTAATACGAATAGCTGTTAATATTTCTCGTTGATCTGGTCCATCACCAAAATCACGTGGTGGTCCGATAGTGAAGAGACCATTGTCTAACGAGTGAACATATGTGTTTTCACCAAATTCAATAGCAATACTTCCTTGTATATCAACAAACTGTTTTGTTCGCCACCAGCCTGCATGCCTAAAATAAAATACAAATTTTAGTTATAATATTCAATATTTTTTTGTCAGTTATTTCTTACTTAACAAAATCTTCATCATCACCTTCATCACTTTCATTTCCACCATGTTTTCGTTTCTTTGATTTATGTTTCTTTTTTTTCAAAACATTGCCTTTTAGTTCAAGTTTTCCACCACGTACAGCATATACATCAGAAGTAGACATCTAAAATATGATCAAATAATTATACATTTATACGACACAGTATTCAACATCATATTACGAGACGTAACTTATTCTTCAATTTGTATGCCAAGGATAGATAGTTTATTTTTATTTAAAATAGTTCATAAAAAGTTCTCCTCTCGTTATACAGACAGATCTTGTTTAACAAACGTATCACTGGTAAAAAATGACCAGACCAGTAAACAAACAAATTACAAATGAAAATGATTATTCTTTGACCGAAACAATGCGACATAAAGGATTTTCTCGACACATTTCTAAATTGACTTTTGGTCCAATTAAATCACGTATATTGTCAATTCCGTACAAAATCATTGTAGGTCTAAAGATATTAGAAAAAGAAAATGAAAAATCGGAAAAATTTGATGATAAACTAATTATTTACCTTTCAAGCGACAAACCCCATGCAATTACTGATACTTCTTCTGGAAAACCCATTGCCAAAAGCATTTCAGGGCGAAAAACACCAGAGTTTCCTACTTCAATCCATTTTTTCAAACCTAAATACAAGAAGAATGTGATTAATTTATAGTATCATACCGCAGCTGTTATGAAAAGAAATTAAAATAGACTTCACGATAGTCACATATGAATAGATTATATATAAAACATCTTCCGGCGACTAAAAATTATTTCTTCCAACATAAACTTAGCTTACCTTCATGATAACTAAATATTTCCATACTAGGCTCTGTGTAAGGATTATATGCTGGTTTAAAACGTAATTTTGTCATTCCTTAAAAGAAATGATAAATACTATTTCAGTGTTCCTTCTATTTCTCTTCTTTGATTACAAACCTAATTTTCTGAAAAATTCGTACAATAAACCAATTAAATCTCCTAATGTTAACTTATAATCCGCCACTAAACCCTCAATCTGATGAAATTCAGCTAAATGTGTTGCATCCAAATTTTCATTTCGAAAGACTTTATCAATTGAAAAATATTTTGCTGGTGTGAATGGTTTCTAGTAGATGAAGAAATGAAATAATAAAAAAAGAAGTATTTCATCTGTATTCAAGATACAGTAAGAAAACAATCGTACGTTTTGTGCAAGTTTATAAAGCATTCGAGCACTGACAGCTGTCGTATGAGTACGTAGAACATTTTTTTGTGCTTCTTCCAATTGCCAATTATATTGATATCTAAATGAAGCAAGAAAAAATGAATAAGAAAATATTCGTTTTACTTGTTAATCTACACTTTGTCTATTTACCCAATTGAACCGAATGCACCAGTTGAATGTACTTGTTTTACTTTTTCTAAATATTCCATCGGTAGATCAACAGATTTAGCTGGATCAGAAAGAAAAAATGTATCATGAGCATCTCTTGCTGGATGCTGTTGTGGCGTGAATAATGCATCAAAATTCCAAAAGCTACTTTCCACATAATTATTTGTTGGCATTTCAGTAAATCTTGATAAAAAAAGTATACAATTGATTTAATTATTTATTTTATGGAAATTGTTTAAATAAGTGAGTATCTACCCCATTTCGAGAAAGATTTGTCGATATTCAGTACGAACTTTGAGTAACGGATGTAAACATCCATAATTTAAATTCATGCCCTGTGCATTAAAATTATACACTTTAAAATTTAGACTTTTCCATGTTCCACTGTGAAAAAGAACAAACAAATAATGGATGAATGAATGACAATTGAAGATAAATATCATACGAACTTCTGTATCATATCAGCTGTTAAGTCTGCTTCACCTTTTGTCACAGTAGTGGTAAAACCGGGTCCCTTTTTTACTATCAAATAATTAATAACACTAAATAAAACAGTAAAATCTATTACTTGTCTGATAATTTGAAGAAACAAAAACACTTACATATCTTCAACTAATTTTCGCTTTTTTAGATCTGAAATTTCCTTTTGATTATCTTTCAATTCCATTGATTGTATACTTTTTAATAATGATTGTACTTCATCGGTTACATCCGTTTTCTAAAATACAAATAGTATTATAATAAATTTAACAATGTGAATTCTATAAACGTACATTTTTCCTAACAATACTTTTATCTAATTTAAACCACTTATTTGACATTGCTTTATTAAATCCAATAGCTGCATTTGGTAATTGCTATATGAAAGGTAGAGAGAGAGAGAATTCAAAACGTTTTAGAATCGTAAGTAACTGACTAACCATTAATGCTTCGTGTTCAATTCCCGTATCTGGTACAGCTTGATATAGCCGATATTCGTAACTTCCATTTTCAATAATAAGCTTTCCTTCATCGGTTGGTGCTACAAATTTTGATGTTTGTTGTTCAACAGTAATAATCTAAAAATCGAACAAAAAACAACAACTAATGAAATAATTCTGTTCGTTATACATACATCTCCTATTGATTGTATACTTCGAATACATCCAATTACTAATTGATGATCGAGATTATTTTTTGTCGCATACGTCCACGTGTTTAACTCATCACTGTACTTCAAATCAGATAAAATATCTTCTTGTAAATCGGAAGATGTTAACGGTTTCTAAATGAATGATGTTGCAAAATGTCTATGCATGGGATAAGTAATTATCAACAAACGGAAACATACTTTTGTCGTATAAGAGCTTTCGCTCATCGTTAATTTTCTTAAAAATAGATCTGAAATAAGTGTTTCGGCCATTTGAATAAAGATGAAAGAAAAAACTCTTCACTCATTATACGAGAGATACAATTGTGTGAAATAAAACAACAAGAATTGTAAAATATGAGTCACTTTACGTCATACTTTAGAATGCTTAAAAGAAAATAATTAAAAATCACAAATAAATGTTTGATTCTCTACAGACGCGAACACACTACCACAACAACAATAGAAACACGTTTTCTCGCTTGATATATCACTTATTAAAAAATGCTGACATCAAGAGTGAGTTGAATGAAATGTAAGACTGATTCTTCAGAATCTTTTAATTAAGATATTGCTATATAGTTCTTCCATTAGTCATTCAATAACTGCTATAATTGTCAATTGACCGATATAAAGCCAACTGGCTCAGTTGATATGATGAATTAGGTCCTTCAGTCAATTTTCTTGGCAGCTTTCAAATTACAGAACTATTTTCGTTCTACTGTCCTTCATTATGACGGATTATGTATGTACTTTTTCATTTCAACTAGTTGTCCAGAAAAATGATTCGTCTACGCATAATACATTTTCTCAGATACATTCTTGATGCAAGACAAGAGACTAAGCAAAAACAGACATAAGAAGTCAAAAAAAATTCTATTTATTACTACTTAATAAGAAAACAAGATCATCTGTTTCATAAGAGGTTATGATAAAAAGTAGGTAAATGCTGAGATATGACTCTTGTGGTAAATGATGAAATAAAAAACTGGCTTTTTCATTTCTCCAGCCAATTTCTACCCTACTCTTCCAACCCTTTTAGTATTAAAATTGTTTTTTCTTAGTATTACCTCCGCTTTCATCATTTTTTTTTATTATAATCTATTCATTTGACATGTCATCATCCAAAGAAAAAAAAATAGTCTGTTTTGTTGAAAACAGAACGATAAATTCAATTCAACGCTATCCGCGTTTGAGAACACCAATCTCAGCTTAAGCCTGCAGAGTGACATCTATTATTGATAGATGGTGGTAAATACGAAAGGGAACAGCGAACAGTAGAAATATGTAAAATATATGAGCACTTTTCACTAGTTAAATAAATAACTCTTTCTCAGTACAAAAATCAGTTGTAGAGTTGAAAAGTAAAACCGCAAGATACTCGAAACGTTCATGTAATCAGTCACTATGACTAGTCTCTTGACTAAAACATTGCGAAGTTGTGCAACCGACTGGGTGTACATAGTTGAACAGTGTACGTCCACGTCTTTCTCAAAACTCATATTATGATAAATAGTTCTTAGCGTAGACGATCGATATTGTTAAAATGAAATATACACAAACAATCATGGCTTCCATCCATGCGAAAAATTTTTTAATTCAAGGGTTCTTGGTTACATCTAGAAAAAAACTACGCTTAACTACGTATAAAATGTTTGTAGATTTTCCTTATTGGTAGTCCAAAAATATAATATAATACAAAAAAAAGTCCAATGTTTGCTTTCCTGTTCGCGGAACAAATATTTGACGAAAAAGAAAAGGTTCTATATGTGTGGCCTACTCGCACCGAGACGAACGTCAAGAGCAGAAAAGAAAAATAACTTGGTATTCTTTAATATATAGAGAAAAGTTGTTTTCTTTTTCTATGAGTAATAATTCTTCAGAATAAACTACGTGTCAAAGCTTCAAATAAAAAGTTTTTTTTTTTTTGTGTATATGAATTAGTTTTAGAAATTTTTGACAATATGTCGGAAAATGAGAATTCATCACAAGGTTGGAAACGATTAGAGCAATGGGTATCGAGAGTTGTAGAATATTCATCACAATATAACGAAACGACATGGAGCGCCAATATGATTATTGGAGAACCAAGAGTTTTTCCTCAACATGGTAAGATCCCATATTTTAAATTAAAAACGAATTATGGCGTAATTACGATTGTAGCTACGGGCGCCATGTCTAGCGAGATGACGATTTTATTACGATATAAAATCCGCGCTATTTTCATAATTATGCGATAATAAATCTACTACGTCCCATTACGTCGTAATCTATAAAAAAATCGAGAATATGGGATACTAAATAAATTATTCATGCGTTCACTTGTCTAATTCAAGTCATTTGTAGGCGATATTCAGGGTGCTTGGGCCCAAGGTGATCGAAGTGCTCATGAATTTATCATTGTTGAATTTGCGAGAAGTGTATATCCAGAACATATCCATATTTATGAAACATATAATCCAGGTGAAAAGTTTCATGCCGTAATAGTGAAGTTTTAAACAAAATTGCTAAATAATATTTTTAGGTGCCGTTGTAAAGGTGTGTGTTCGAAATGGTACGTATAAATCTTCGTTCTTTATAGAAGAGAAAAAATATTTCGAGATAATATTAATTTTTATATGATATTGTCTATATTTTAGGTAATGAAGAAGACGAAGAATGGGAGACAGTGTATGAAACAGCTCAACCACATGTAATAGCTGATGCGCGTATATTTAACATATCCTGCAATAATACTCAAACAAAAATAATTAATCAAATTCGATTAGATCTTAATTGTTCAGCAGCTGGTAGCTGGTGTGAAATTGATTGTGTAAAATTAATTGGTCATTTATGTCATTCTGGTTATTCATTGAAAGAATTAAGTACAGATCTTTCAACATTATTAAATGATGATTATTTTGCTGATTGTACATTTGAAATACAAGGACGAACAATATCTAGCCATCAAAATATTTTATCTGTAAGATGTTATTATTTTGAATTATTGTTTGAAAAATATCCTGTTACAAATAATGAACCAATCAAAATTACTAATTGTTCGTACGATACATTTTATCAAATTCTTCATTTTATTTTTACTGATAAAATTGAACCCGTTTTATCCTATGAAATATGTATTGAACTAAGTAGGTCTATTTATTTTTTTTTTGATAACTAATATTTGAGTTTAAATTTGATTATTTTTAATTTAGTGCGTGTTGCCGATGAGTATTATTTGAGTGCTATTTATAATCACGCATTTACAATACTAAAAAGTATATTAAATAAGAATAATGTACTAAAAATATTTGCATTAACTGGTCTATTTTCATCTGAACAATTGGTATTGGATGATGTTGTACAAATGTGTGTAAGTTTTGTTCAAAAAAATCGAAGTGAAGTTTATTCAGGTGATGATATCAAAAATTTATCAAAAGATATTGTTCTTCAATTAATAAAATTAGTCTTATAAGATTGAAATATATTTTCATTATGTTGTTTTATAAAGTTTTTAATTTTTTACATTAAATAGAGTCTCCAAAAAAAAAATTCAGTATATATCAGTTCGATTTGAAATCAAACTAATATTCTCCAAGTCTACTTTTAGATTTAATTTTATCAATGATCAGATGAGAACATTCGATGATATTGGACATTTTCTCTTTTGATAATTGAAAAATATTTTTCTCTTATTTTATGATTATTCTTTGTAGAAATGAAATTAGCTAACATAATGTTCATTATTATTATTATTAGAGACGTACGACTTTGGTTGCATTCTTACTTTACCTAGAAATTCTTTTTCTTCTTCTTAATTCATTGAGATCTGCACTTTTCCTATGAAGATTATCTTCTTGATATTTTTCGTATTAGATGATTATAGTGTAGGTATGTGAGTGTGTGAGTTTCATAGATTACTATGAACACATATGAAAGTTATGGAACGAAACATACGATCATTCACTTTTAAAATACAGTGTAGATAACTCTTTTTTTTGAATAATGTTTGGAAAAAACACACGACAATTGAACTCGATATGCATATTTGGAAGACAGAAGAAGGATACTTAACTTTGTAATTATCGATGTAGAGTGTTGACAGAACTCTAAAAGAGTGTGATACTGAGCAGCTGTCTTCTTCAGTTTACAATCTTCGAATGTGATGATTCATTCATTTACTAGCAAAATTAAACCACGACTCTGAACAGAACTGATGCAAAGAACAGAACAGTGTATAATATACGGAACGGTATTCGTGTGTAGAGTGATCTAAAACGGTATTGATTTCTCAGTCTTAAAACTTTATTTTTTTATTATGTCGCAGGAGAAATTAAAATGTAGGACAATTTAAAATTTTCCTACAAAAAATTGAAATTTCTTTTGATGTCAGACTGACTAGACACAGAGAAAGAAGGAAACAAAAGTCATCCGCATATAACTAAATATTGTTTCCATCGGTTAAGTCGACTTTTTCTTGTCACGATAAAGCGTTTCTACACTTTACATGATAACCACCATATCGAGTCTTTAAATCCCAACTTTCGAGACAAGTTTTCGATAAACCAGCCGATATATGATGATATAATTTTAATTCATCGAGCCAGTTGAGGAAACGTTCAATTTCAAGCTCGTTAAAGTTGGTGATCTCAACATCGTGTATGATATTAAAAGAAGTCATCCAGTTGTCACGTACAAAAATCTGTACATAGAGAAACAAACGATTTTCTCATGCACTCTGACATACCTGCTGCTGATTTTGGGAATAGTTTTCTGTTACTACATGCATCTCACTGTGAAATAAATAATTTTACATTATAGTTTGGTACAAATGAATATTGATCTTTCACCTAAAAAACAAGTTTATCTTGACCCAATTTATAAACATGTTTTTCTTATACTTCGAGCCATGTCTTGTCTCTTCCATGATGGCCGGCTCGTTCGTGGCTTTCGTCGATTTGGATGTACAGATTTTTGTACGTGACAACTGGATGACTTCTTTTAATATCATACACGATGTTGAGATCACCAACTTTAACGA